AGGTGGAGGAGTCATGAGAAGTGAGCACGTATTGAGATATACATTATGTCTCTGCTATTACATCCTACCGCCAGCGATGCATAGGTACATTTGTGGATGAGATGGACACTTAAGATACTCCTGCATGGATATGACTGCCATACCTCTATAGACAGTGGAGGGAATATTATTATTGAATTGATAAACACTTGTAGACAGATATCCGTTTACGGCTACCCCATTGGCACCTTTACACCTGGATATTGGAACCTTGATGCTGGAATGTGGGAGCAAGAAGTTATAATTTTGCAGAGATTGTATTTGTGGATATAAGGATTTCGTTGTGCTGGTGGTTGCCACACAAACTATTTGCCCTCCATTTGTCTCCCATACAGACACAAACTGCAATTTGCGTCAGTTCAATATTATTTGGATCCATATTTCTCCTCTCTTTAGAAAGGGAAGCACAATATATGGGGAATTCCACTGCTGGAGGGACCTTTTGGGAATTGTGACTTTTATGCACTTTTGATCCCTAAATTGCAGACATATAACAGCTTTAACTTTAAAAAAAACCATAAGAAACTGTGAATGATCTGTAAGTAATGTAGGTTCTCAATTGGGGACACATATTGTGATAAAGTGCAATAACTTTAAGTTGTATAGGTCCGGATTCTTCTTATGATCTTGGGGCATAGGGTATATATTTCAAGGATGTGGGGTCAAGAGCAACTTGAGAAGAGTCCTTGACCAATCAGTATTGATTAACTGCCGTGGAGAAAAATTACGTCACTGAGGCGCCTGGTTTATCATAGGTGACTGGACATGGCTTCTTGTCGCTAAGCAACTCTGACAATGGTTTCATGTCTAGAATCGGATGACATGGACACTCAATTCATTACTACGCAATAGGAAGATATATTTAAACATTGTTTTGACGTTATGCCTCGTGTTCTAGTTCTCGAAGACTGCTGCTCTGTGCAGACCATGCGTTACTGCCCATCACGTTGAGGAAAGAAAGTTCATGAAGATACGGGTAACAAACTGGCATATTACTGGGTAACATCATAAATGATTATACAAGAGTCTCATTCATTTGTATTTGACATAATGTACAGAGGATCTGGCATCAGGCTTCTAAACACAGAGATTCAATTCATGATAATCAGATGCGTCACCTGAATGACAACAAAGGAACATTAAAGCAAGCGTTCTAAACCTGGTAAGAGACACATTCTCCTTAAAAGGCCACAAGTGATACAAGGGGGGTGATTTACTAACCTAATCACACGCACGCACCAGGTGTGTGTGATTTTCACACAGCAAAATGTATTTATCAACCAAAAAGTCTCTAAAAGCATATTTCCACTAATGCCATATATGGAAAAATCATGCACATGATGCATATATAATGCTGCTTCACAGTTTAGACAAAAATGGTTAGCTCATGCATTTACATTCCTGCATTCATCAACGCAAGCAACATAACATAGAGCTAATTTACACCACATTACCTTGCAATTCATTGCAGGGCTTTGCACAACACACCTGCTGGGTGTGTACACACTACAAAGGTGTTTCGATTCCTCCCATAGATCATGCTGGGAGGGAACACACCACAGAGGTGTATACACGTTCGTGGTGTGTTTAAAAGGTTAGTAAATCAACCCCAATGTCTCAGATCCAACCTCCCAAACCACTGTCAGAGTTGCTTAGCAACAAGAAGCCATGTCCAGAATCGGATGACATGGATGCTCAGTGTCATTGCTATGCAGTAGGCAGATATTCAAGCGTTGTCTTGATGTTATGCCCCGGTGTATACTAGTAATGAGACTGCTGCTCTGCACACACCATGTGTTACTATGGTAACCAGACGCTCCCTGGCACTGTGGCTTAGACAGGCTTCAATTTTTCAATTAGTCTGACTTGGGGTTTTGTGCAGACACAGTGCTCTTCTAGCTGGCATTATACGTTCATGTTCTATTAACCTTTTTGAAGGATGATACTGTGTTTTGGCATTTCACCACTCTGCTTTTTGAATGACATCCCGGAGTACAGAACAATGGCAGGTACCAATATTTCTATTAGATTAGCTCACTGTTGTTGCCATTATGTATATGCCATTTATTGTGACTCTGAATAAATGTTGGTTCCATCTGAACTGGTAGAAAGTGTACAGAGTTGGAGAGAGGCTGGAAAAAGGTGGAGTAGACAACAGACAGACAGGGATTAGTCTAGGCTCCATACCAAACTATAATATAAAGGTGAAGGTGCTACACAGAGCAGACATGGGGGAAAGTCATGAAGCTTGTATTGTTATGACTAAAGGTGGCCATACACTCTACAAACATCGCAAGACTTTAGTCTTGCGATGGTTGTAAAGGGATTAAAAAAACGTACGATCTGCCTATCTTGGACAGGCAGATCGCACTCTCGATCATCGCAAGCTCACCCCCCGAGGGGCGGGCTTCCGATGACCGCAATGCTGAACGGGCAGTGTGCGCGTGCGCACACCGGCCCGCTCGGCATTTGTCTTCCGAGCACCGTTCTAACCAGCCGAGAATCGTACGATTCCCGGCTGGGTTTCAAACATGCTGGTTCGACAGAAGACGTGCGATCGTACAGTAGAAACGGTCGCACGTCTCCGTTCACACTGCTCGATTATCGTACGAAAAACCGATCGCGTACGATAATCGTGCAGTGTATGGGCACCTTTAGACCAGGCATCATAAGTACATAGCCAACGACACAAGAATACACTTTATTGATATGCTTTACAATTTCTGTTTACCTTTGCCATGCATTTTAGTATGTACACAGGTGCGTTTCAATTATATTTCTGCATGTTATTTCTCACTAGTGATTTAATGTGCATTTTGCACTGTGGCATTTAAAATACACTTTTTAAGCATTTTACAATGTGGCAATTTATGGTGAATGACATGCTCATTCATTAGATATGATAGAAAAATCAGATTGTGAAAGTGGGCCCCAATTTATTTGGGCGCCCACTCTCATGGGATTGCAGCGGTCACAGTTATTTTTTGTGAGGTAAAAAAATTTTTGGGAAACAATTGGCTATTAAATACATTTTTAAAAAAAAATAGATTTCTCTCACGAAAATTAGAAGTGTAAACCCCTTTAAGAAAATTCACCTGGTAGTTTGGCCGGGAAAATCCCAGGTTCCCCTTTAAGACACCTGTTACGCGGGAAAACCTTGGCTCACGGCATTCTTGACATTTCTGGCAGCTGCCTATAAAAGAGGAGACGCAAAGAGGCACTCGGCTGGACTTTCATCACAGCGAGCTCCCCACCCGCCCGCCCTCCCTTATAGCACAATGTTTTGTTAAATATTAGCAAATGATCATGTCACGGGCTTTTATGTGGTAGTGTCACCTCTTACAGGAGGGGGACTTTAAGTCTGGTTTTACAATTGTTGATTTATTGCTTGAGTTTTATGACAAAGCAATTTACAGTTGATTTGAGGTTTTAAGCTGTTAACGTTTTGATTAAATTCAGTTAAACAAAATTAATAAACCAATAAAAGTGCCGCAGCCATTTTTTCTTCCAAATATTATGGTGTCTGTGTCATTTATTTTAATATGTAGTACCGCCTGCAATTCCATATTGTAATCATTTTCTATTCAATTGAAAACATATATACAAGTATATTGGCAGTGACACTTAGTACTTTTTAGGCCGGTGTCAAACCTGTACCTAGTAAGTAGCCCATTTACTTTCACTGAGCTGCCAATGCATAGGAAACACACCAGACCCTTTCTTAGGAATGCAACGCACAGCCATGTACAATAGTGTGTTACTGTGCATTGCGGTGTGCTAAATGCAGGTGCGTTCCTTAAGTGCATCAGGGTGCCATCTAATAATAATGTCACAGCAACGCACTAATGTGCACATAGTAAGGCACTGCCCATTAACGCAACACAAAGGTGTGATTCCAGCCTTAGGATGGTGGATGCAAGGTCAGTTTCAGGGGTCAACAATGCCTCACTACAAGGCTAGGGACCCGCTGTAAAGCTTGAACATAATTTACTGCCCAGGAATAAAACTTAGATTTATGAACAGCGCATCAGCAGAGATGGAGTCATGCTTTTTGTACTCCACTGCAGAGCTGCCCAAGTTGAACAATCACCAGTGCTGTTATGCCATTTCTATATATCCCCTGTACCTGGTTACTTGACATCAGTTCACATGACCAAGTGCAGGGGGTGCGTGGTAATGTGTCTTATCGGTATGTGCCATCTGTGTAACCTTCCTGCACAGCACTGTAGTAGTTGTCTTCAGAAAGTACAATTCTCATCTCTACTAGCAAACCCTTTATAAATGTAAGTTTTATTCCTGGACAGTGGATAGGGGAAACAGTCTAACCACTCTACCTTCTCTGAAATAGGGGCATAGATGAAGCTGTACCGCCCCCCCCCCCCCAAAAAAAAAAGAAGCCAAAAACATGTAACATTTACAAATAGACTTTCAAACAGAGATGGAAAGTGCAGAAAGTGGGGTTATTTTGCCACACATGCCCGAGTTCCTGCTCGATGATCCTAATGAAGAATACTACCAGAAGCCTATCCTCAGCCTAAAACAACTGAAATCTTTAAGCAATTAGCTGCCCTCAGAGTCAAGTTCTGGGACTTTCCAATTTTCATTACAGCTTCTTCTGGTAGGAACTATTGTATTTAACTGAATTCAGTCCAAGATGCTTCTGCAGAACTCCTTCTGTGGTATTCAGCCATCTTCATGTTTGGCTAGTCTTTGGACATGGCTGAGTACTGAAATTATGTTTGATATGGGGGAAAGAAAAATTCTACTGACAACAGCATCATGAAAAAAAAAAGCTGTATACAAATGCCTGTCATTGAAAAGTGTTACTATGACCTAAAGGTGACAAATGAGTCCGTCTTGCTGGGCCAGTAAAATGTCCAGTCTCAGTATAACATGTTCCCTTATAAATGTGCAGTGTTGTACACAGACTGTGATCATGTACGAAGGACTGCAGGATTTCAGAAGTGTCTTCAGTGGAGTCCAATCATTCCAAGCAGTCACGTGAAGAAAGCCATTGTGACCAACAAATGCAACAGTGCTAGAAGTAACCATTGGACTTTCAACCCCAGGCTTGTGATTTACAATAATGTAAAACAAGTTTCCCATCACTTCCAAAACACTAGAGAGAAAAAAAATACCATTAGGTTGTACAAATCAATGCATTTGCGCTAGTAGGTAAGGGTATAGGTTACCAACCAAAACTAAATGAGCGAGTACTAAAACGGATCTACATGTGTACAGGATAAAATAAAAACCAGAGACATTCAGCTTATTCTGCAGTTATTGTAAAATATGAATACTGGAAAGTAAATGGGGGTTTTGATTTTCCCCTCAGTTTCAGGTTTACATAGAGAAGCAATGGTTACAATAATAACAGAGAATGGTGGGTATAGCAAAGCAGCATTGGAGAGTTTGAAGTAAAACAATTGTATTTAGAAAAGGCAAATAAAGAAAGAACTCAATACAATGTAATTGTTTTTCTAGATGACTAGCAGTAGGACTCCATAGCAATGGCAGCATGGGCAGGCATCTGGAGAATGTATATGATAGGCATATAATAGAGATGGTAGGTGGTAGGGTCAGTATTTTGGCATCAGGGCAGTTCACATCATAGCATTGCGCTAAACACACAGGGTCAGTGGTACCACATGCTAGGTGCGCTAGTGCATTGCGCTGACACTCATTCTCAATTGCGCTCCCAAAGCACAGTAAGTGAATTGCAGCACAGCATTGGGTACCGCAACAATGTGTATTGCATTGTGGTGCACTGCTGGAAAGTAGTGCATGCATTACTTTTTAATGAACCACAATGCACCAGCACACCTAGCACGTGGTACCGTACGGTATGTGATAGCGTGCCCTGGACGCATGGATCCCATGCATTTAGCACAACACTGTGATGTAAATGGGCCCTAATGGCAGGGTTGGCAGGCTGTGGAGCCACGCTGTTTTCGTTACCACACGTGAACATAATTGAAATTCGCCTAACCCAATATGAGACCGATACCAAGCATATGCACGGTAGTGGTAGATATCTGGTGTAATTACCATGCAATTATGCTTACATTCCAGAGCATACTGCACATGTATAGTAGCAAAATGTAGTCAGCAATATGTCCCAAAAGAGACAACGGGAAACATTATACAATTCAATACCATTTCATTATTTATACCTCATATAGGATGCCAACTTCTTGGTCAGGTGATGGGGCAAATGACTGATTCACATAGATAAACTGTAAATGTAGAAAAATAAATCCTTAAAGCACATGGATAACCAACAATTATTACACACAACAAGGAATGCTTCTAAAACCCTGAAGCGTTTCCGGCTTCTGAGCTGTAGAAATCCCGGCACATCTCCCGGGTGTACAAGCAGATTGAGGACTCTCTGTCCCCTATATGTTTGGACTACTTTCAGAGGAGACATCAAGCATCTAATAGACCAGTAACATCTGCATAACGAGGACATGTCACTACTATCGCATCTACTCAGCCCCCTTGTGACAGTAGTAAATAAAAAAAAAAGATATATATGATTTACTATTACCTCTCAAGCAACCAGAAACTACAGTTATCCGGAAAATACCGATCCCCGTGGGTGCTGGATAACTGGGAGTTTACTGTATATACCGTGTTTCCCCGAAAATAAGACACTGTCTTATACTTTTTAACTGGCTTCGTTGGCACCGCTTATTCTCTCCTGCGGCTCTTCAAGTTCCCCCTTATGCCACCACCCGCCCTGGGAATGGTCACAACTAGGTCTTATTTTCGGGGTAGGTCTTTTATTTTAGCAATTCCCAAAAATAGTACTAGGTCTTATTTTCTGGGAAACAGGGTATTTTTTTTTTACGGTAAAATTATTTAAAAAATATTCCAGTGAAGTTGTCTCTAATGCCGCTAGGATGCTATAATCTTAGTTGTATTCATGTCAGATAATACAGTCAGCTCTGAACTTCTGGCTCTGCTGCTGTGCATTCCAGCTAGTGTACAGTGAAGGAGAGTCGCTCACTCTCCCCCCTCCTCTTGTCTTCTTTTAATATAATACAAGGTGTTCTGTGATTGGAAAAGGGGCGCTCCTGTTGTTCATTCACTCCTCCTCTGCACTTGTCCAATCACAAAACACTTTGTAAAAAAAATTACAAGATATTTTATGGCTAGATGAGGGATTTTTTTTTTTTACAAGTTACTAACTGAAGGTCCCATATGTGCTAAATAAATGGTGTGAAATGCGGTTAAATAGTTATTGCTGAGTAAATCGGTACATGCCAAAGCTGCAAATTATGGTCTGGTCACAAATGGTCTGGTTTTCATTACGGTGGGACTTAAGAGGTAAAGACAACATACAGTGGTTTTATATAGCTATTTTTATTATGGTCGGCACTAAAACAAAGACAAGTAAATTGGAAATATTGCGTACTAATGTTAAGCAGTACTAGAACTAGCCAGCATGGGGAGATTTATTCACAGACTAATACCTTTCTTTGTGTCTACATTCTACTAGCTGTGAAAAACCTGTTTACAGAGAACACGAACACACACACGAATTAACTTACTGAAATTACTCCAGCAGAGGTTCCAATCAAAAACTATGAAGGGAATTTATCAAAACTGGAGCAGACTAAAATCTGCAGCAGCTGTACACAGCAACCAATAAGCTTCTCTGTTTCATGGTCAAATCTTAACTGAACAAACTGAAGAGAGAAGCTAATTGGTTGCCGTGGGCAACTGCTCCAGATTTGGTCTGCTCCAGTTTTGATAAATTCCCCCCTATGTCTCTAAGTAGGCTACTTCAGTTTTTTTGTTCAGTTGTTAATCCTTTTCGTGTATTAAATGCTTGTTTGTAAAGTAACGATTGTGCACGTATAGAGATACAACTCACCCAAAGCCAGTATAGACTATTTTCAGGGAATCCAGAATGGTTCTGGGACAGTTGTATAATTTTAATGAATATACAAAGTATTATATGCAATATTTCATTTTTTTATTGCATTGTTTTGACCATAATAAAGAGAAAATCTGTGCAAATTCACAATGACAGGATACTACATAATACAAACATCGAATGAAAGCTTGCTAAGAAAACATTATGTGCTCTAGATAAAGTCCAACAGAAAACGTATACAGGGCAAGATCAGGGAACAAAATATATTTAGTACTTTTCACTGTTAAACCCCTTATATGTCAAAAGAACATGTTCCTAGGCTCACCTAACTGAGATTTCACCTAGCTTGCCCAACTTTCTTTTTACAATCTCATATGAAATATTGGTCTGTCATTGGTACACAAACTATGGACACTTGACTGTGGGCAGCATATGAGGCCTTTCACCGCTCATCATTCATTAAAAAAGCCAGCACATCACTGGACTTGCAGAACTGCCTTGAATATAGGCGAGAGCTTGATCTACAGGAGCAGCCTTGAGCACTTGTTCCATACAGCCAGTTGCTTAATCATGCAGAACCAGCGGAATGAAATGCCTGCTGTGACAAGGTAAGATGGCTTACAGACATTCATTTCATGTTCACACTGTGCTTCGGGTCCATGTGACTGTCAAGTTACCATCCTTGATAGGGTCCTGCTTTATACTAACCATGAGACTGACTGCTACTGGATTACGGTCATCACCTCTCAGAAACGCATACCTCATGTTAGAAATCAATTGTTCCCGATATTTCTCCAGAACAGAAATGACAACTGGTAAGATTTTAAAGGAAGAATGTATTGCAGATCTTATGGTCACAGTAACAGTCATAAAGTATCAACCTACATGGAGAGAGTGGGTGACTGCTGGAATATATGTACTATTTACTGAAGGAGTTGAAGATCTTCACTCAATTATCCAATCAAGTGAAAAGCAAATTAATCTGCATGATTTGGGTATTTAAAGTGAATGGGAATTTGCTTTTCACATGACTGGTTAACTGAAGCGAATACTCACTCAACTTATCGATTGAAGATTTTAAACACCTGTAGTAAATCAGCCTCACCGCCTTTGTTTGGACAATTACGGATCATTAAATCCTACAACAAATGAATAAATGTTTTGATCTCAGAGAATGACATGCTATGGAAAAATCAATAGGCAGTATAAACAGGAAATAACTAGAACAAAAATATCTGCAAAAGATTCATATCTAATCTCCAGACATGTATAAAAAAAATGGGAAAGCAGTGAAGGAAGATAATATAACCGTCTGAATTAACTATTGTAACTCTGCCACATGCCCAGCAAGTAGGCAAAAACAACATTAAAAAAAAAGCAATGGATGAGGTCTGTGTCCCCAAAAGAACTGCTACAGAAAATTATTTTTACAGCGAGTACAAATATACATTTTCTCCAGCGTTCATTTAAGGGAGGGAGGGTGGTCAATACATCAGACCTCTGGGAGCTAAACAGGGAGAGGGAAAAATATTCAATGGCACCGCTTCTACGCCCCACGCCCGCAGTGCGATCGGACGCATGGCAAAACTTTGCCAGCGTTGCGTTCCACTGTAAACGCAAAAAATAGAGCAAGCCCTATTTTTTGCGTTTGCAGTGGAACGCAACGCTAGCAAAGTCTTGCCAGGCGTTCGATCGCGGGCAGGGGGCGTGGAAGCGGTGCCATTGAATTCAATGCACCGCCACGCCGCCTCCCAGAACGCGGGGAGAAGTTTCTTAGCGATCGCGGTGCGTTCCAGCAGCTACCGCTCCGGAACGCACAAGGTTTCGGTGTGAACAAGGCCTGAGTCACTGACCCAGAACAAAAATACAACAAGGGATGTCAAAACTCCTGATCTGAAGAGATGTTTGGGGTCAGTGGCTTAAAATGACTGAATGCAGGCATAGTCAGGCAACTATCATTTGGGAAGTTGAGGTCAATAATGGTGTCCCACATACTTACTTTAGCACACATTTCCTTTGAGCCGTCATTTTTTAAATGCCATTAATACTATAGCAATAAGGGAATAAGGACAAATAGTAAAGTGCACAAATGTTAACCTAAAGTTCTATGAAGTCCTGAGATGCATAAGCAGAGCAAGAAAAGGGTTAAAATACCTTTACCTTTCCTGGAGATAATGCTGCTTCCGGAGATAATGCAGCCCCCCTCCTGTCTTGGTCACATTACCTCTGCTGAAGGCAAGGGTTAGCCGACCTGAGACCAGATACCCCCGTTATGGAAAATGTGACCAAAAGTTGGGTATTTTATCCATCACTGGAGGAAGCCTGGAGCAGAATCTTCTCCAGGAAAGGCAAGCATTTGGACCCATTTATTACTCTTTAATTATCCAGCAAAGCCATGCTATTGAAAAGCCTTTATGTTACTATTTAAAAAAGGAGAACTATGTGGTTAGGGCTTTTCCCCATAGTTCTCCTTAGGGTAACGGAAGGACACAAACTAGCATCCTCCCGTCACCCTGGGCTCAGTATACCGCAAGCTGCTGCTTGCGGTATACTAAGACGCTGCAGCTGAAAAGGATCCCGACAATTACGTCTGGATCCACCCAGCTGCGTGACTGACAGCTGGCTCTGCCTATCTAGAGGCAGAGCCAGCTGTACCCGTCCCCCTCCCCCATCTGTTCCGCCAGTCAGCGCTGGAGGATCGGACAGGGGAGGGGGGAATCCAGGCCCTCCCGTCACAGGATCGAGAAGTCAGCGAACGCCAGTATGTGTTCGCTCACCTCCCGATCTACTGAGCCGACCTGCGACAGTCTCATGGTCACAGGTCGGCTAGAACTATGAGGATGAATGAAAATCACTCACCTCATAGTTCTCCTTTAAGGATAGCTCAGCTTTCAAATATCACAATAAGAGAATACACAGCTCCCCCTTATGCAAGAGCAGAAGATGACTTTCTAATATTCAATTACACTCTTTATGTTATGTGCCAAATTGTGGGTCAGCGATTTAAAAGCAAATGAAAGGACACCATACCAGCTGCTCTGAAGAGTCCATCTTGAGGTATTTTTTGATGAAGTCCATAAGGCCTTGCACTGTGCGCGTTTTCTCGATAGTCCACTTTTTATTTTTCATGATTGGCGTGTCCCCAACCGCCTTCAGCAGGACATCAACTAGGAAAAAGGAACAGTTTACTTTTTCTGGTATCTGCAGATCTGACAAGGTATGCAGCACTTTACAGAGTACAAGGAACCAATCAGTTGAGCTCACAATCTAGTGTCCCTACCTTCTTTCCACTATGACTAGGCCAATATATACTGCATTATATACACAGATATCATTATGTATTCACTGATTATTGGATAACTGAACCTTAGATTAGTGGTTCTGCATTATATGCGAGGACCTGATCACATCCAGGAGTGGGATTCCTCGCCTATTCCTTGCTCCCCTGGCTGATTACATAGAGAGGAAAAAAGTGAAATATTGTGCTCATTTCTAAACCCCATGACTAATAAATACATAAACAAGCATTTAACCCTTGCAGTGGCTGGATATACCCTGAATGGTTAAGGTAAGTCTTTACTACAGGAGGTGTTGACAAATGTAAAAGGAAATTATATACTCAAATTGTAAAATGTGTGATCAACTTTAGAAGCACCCCATCTACTCTTCCTCTGTGCCAACTGTCATACATTTTAATTAGGAAAACACAAAGCTAAAAGTGTTCATATTTGAAGCTTAATTCACTAAGCTTCACTAAGTACCATAAAAAAAAACAAAAAAAAAACATAGACGAGTTTAAAGACAGGGTAAGAATCAGTTGGATATTTATTGTTGACTGTGTATTCTCCGTTCACTTCCTGTCCCAGGAACACAGGGTGGGAGAAGTCTCCCCAACAGGGAAACCAGTACCAATGGAAGCACAAGAGGTTCTAGCCACTGTAACTATGTACCGTATTTGCCGGCGAATAAGGCGAATGCGTGTATAAGACGACCGGACCCCTAATTTTCCACTTAAAAACATAGGTTTTGGGCTATACTCGTCATATAAGACTACCCCATTTCCGAGGCAACACCATTTTAAAACATCATGGATGGATGTGCGGTAATACTGTATGTACGATAGCTTCAGCTACATACAGTATAAAGTGCTGAGCCAATCACAGCTAGCAATGTATTCTACTAATGAATACAAAGCTTGCTTAGATTGGCAGAGGTTGTGTACACCGCTCAACGTGATTGGCTCAGCTACTGTATGTGGCCGAAGCTACCGTACATACAGTATTACCGCACATCCAGCGGGCTGACAGATTAGGGATGTTCGTTTTGGGCCAGCTTTGCCTAAACAAACTAAAGGTATACATTGTATACCCGGCGTATAAGACGACCCCCGATTTTCAGGGGATGTTTTAGGTATAAAAAGTAGTCTTATACGCCGGCAAATACAGTAGATGCCGAGTATTTTGATCTAGGAATGCTACCATTCTATAAAGAACTGCCTACCATTCTATAAAGAACATACATGAGTGACTGCTCGCTGAGATAAACCTAAAGCCTATGACACTGAATAATGTACTGATAAGGCCCAGACAGGAGAAGTCACATGATCCCCCTAAATATAAAAGTGACAGAGTAACGCTGGCCACAAACGCTGCCATTTTTATCACTTTCAATTACAACTTCCAAACTACTGAATCTAAGCAGCCTACTAAAGATTAGATCGGGGGACCTCAAACTATCCAAACACAAGGCCAGATCACTGTCCTTCAGAGCTTAGGGGCCAGATGGGAGTAGAAAATGCCTCCGTGGCCGGGAACGTAAACATTGCCCCATGCTCGGAGACCACCATTGGCATCAGCGAGATAAATAATGATGTCATTATTCATTCTTTGTGACTGAAGCCTGGTTTGAAGGAGGTTGGAATACTCCCGCCTTCCCTGTCCTGGAATGGTCACACCTCTAGTTTAAAATGGAATCCAGATATGCATGACATGACAAGGATCCTGATATCCGGGGACAGTCCCAGGATTATGGGGCTCTGTGTATAGAAACAACCCTGGTTTGAGCAAGTGACTGACAATGAACCATATATCTGCTGTAAAGAAGAACTCCAGGTATGGAAAAAGTTGACCCTTGAAGTTGGGCTTCCTTCAACGTCCTGCGATGGTGAGTACTCACCTCTCCCCCCCTCCCGTCTGTGGTAAATCCCTCCCAGCTCATGCAGGTAAATAGACTGTATTAGCCGTGATGATGTCAGCAGGGCTTAGACCACCGAAGCCCAGGAGGAGAAGAGGCTGCGGTACCTGGTCTAGTAACCAGGCAGGATAGAGGGTCAGTTGTCTATATTTCTTTTATTTTAGCCTCAGAGGAAAAAAATTTAGTTAACCCTTACAGTGGCGGAGTAGCCCACTGCAAGGGTTCACTTTTGTCACTACTGTAGTTCCTACCCTTCCACCTAAACCGTCTCGTCAGCCGTGTTTAGTGAGTAGGGTGCACTATACACCCGGCTGATGGGGCGGAAGTGTCCTGCTGCAGACAGCCCCAATGCGGACTCCCCTGCCCCGGAAACAACAAATTACTTTTTCGTTTCGCCTCTCCCGAAAGCTCCTCCGTGGCCGGGGATACAGGAGGTCCCGGTGCCGGCTCGCTCGGTGTGTCGCTCCCATCCTTCGGAGACAAACCTTGCTGTTCTTCTCCTTCCTCCATGTTACTGGCGGGCAGAAGCAGCACCGCTCCCTACACGGAAGTAAGGGCGGAAGTACGTCACGTGATAGAGGAGTATTATTTTCCTGTTTCAAACATACTTATAGAGGGCGCTATTGTCAGTAGCGTGAAATTGGCACCGGCACTTTCGTCTAATATTTGCATCAAAATTTGTGTTTACCCTTTATAAATAATAATTAAAAAATGTGTTAAAGAGAAAGATATTAAATTATAATAGTACTTGGTGTGCAGAGCCCATCACTGTGTGCAGAGCCCATCACAGTGCTAATGCGCTCACAAACCACCGCGCTCCCACCGCAACATGGTGGTGTGAATGGTGTCCTTCCATGACAAGGCAAATTGGTGGTGTGAATGGGCCTTCAGTGCCTTTCTTTTTATTTTGAATAAAGAGAGGGATTTGTGTGACCCCCCACTTAGGCAAATTTGGATTTCTCTCACTAGATAGAAATGAACTCATGAGTCATGACAGGAAATGTACAATCTTGCAAAGTGTTTATAGTGTCTGATGTAATGAGTTTTTTTAAATAATGACAAACAATGAGTTGCTGTGAGTGACTTTTCAGGTCATCAGTCTGCTGCAGGCAGGAAGAAGCATTTCCTTAGTCTCCTCTTCCCTAGTGATCTGACTACAATATTGTAATTTTGTAGCAACTCACACAGTATAAGGCTGCAGCAGCTTTTAATATAGAAATAGATATTTATTTTTTGACCATAGTTACCCTTTAACATGAGAAATATATCTGATGAAAGGTCAATGCAATGTTCCCTAAAATGACTGACAGATCCTTGCAGACACTTTCTGTCAATGTTATGGGTCTACAATAATTACCTAGCTGGTCATATGACAGCTGTTGCACTGTCCCTTAACCACTTCAAGACCAGGTGTTTAGACCCCCTTCCTGGCCAGGCCATTTTTCAGTATTCAGCGCTGCGATACTTTGACTGACGTTTATTCCGTCATGCAACGCTGTACTGAAATGAATTTTATACCATTTTTGGGGGACAGATAGAGCTTTATTTTGGTGGTATTTAATCACCACTATCTTCCCCAAGAGTTTGACATCCGTGTTCAATAGTGATATGGGGCGGTAATTGGCCACGTCCAAGTTGTCCTTACCCGGTTTGGGTAGCATGGAAATATTAGCGGAAAGGGAGGATGAATGAAGGGGAGAGCCGGACTTCATGACATTGAAGAGGCGTACCAAGTGGGGGGCTAGGATGTCCTTAAATTTTTTATAGTAAAGGTTGGAAAAGCCATCTGGGCCCGGGGATTTTGCTGATTTAAGGGTGGCGATGGCGTCCAAGACCTGTAATTTTTTTAAATTCTTTTTTATGTGTAACTTAAAAAAAAAATTTGGGAGGGGACTTTCATTTTTTTTCATTTTTTTTTCCACTAAACTTTATTGCTATCACATACGAGGCTAATAAAACCCCCCTATGTGATAGCAAAATATGTGACAGGTCCTCTTTATGGAGACATCAGGGGTCTCCAAGACCCCTAATGTCACCTAGGACCCCCCAAAAGAAGCTGATGAAGCACAGATCTGCTCCATCAGCTTCTTTGCAGCTTCTGAAGCTGGAGAGTGACACAAGAATGTGAGTGACACAAGAATCCTCCTTTCAGAGGAGAGGGGACCGGAGGGAGCTCGTGTAACGAAATGTAAGTGGGATGGTGGGAGATGCAGTGAAGGTCCCAGTGGGGAGTAATGCCCACAAGACAACAATTTGGCCCTGGTTGGGATTCACCTCTATGTTTATGTTCATTAGCAGTCCAAAGAGCCAGCAGGGGATTTGCGGTTTCATTGGTGAGGAAGGGGCGTATTTTGGAGATGTTGCGAAGGTGAAGGCGGCAAGATTTGGGTAGTGATTGGATGTGGGGAAGAAAGGTGAGGTCTGAGTCCAGGATGACACCTAGGACATTGGCACGAGGGGAGGGATGGATAGTTGTGTTATCACTATATTGATAATATTGATTGGACCCTGGAGAAAAACTTTCTTGGGCAGCTCCTACCCGCCACGCCCCGACTCACACCCACCATGCAATGCAGAGCAGATAAGAGGAGACAACAGAGGGAGACGTGACCCGGTGTGAGACATCACGTGGTAACGCTATGCGGTGTACGGCAGAGGTGGAACAACACTTATGTGATGCCAATCGCACAGTAAACAGAACAGTGCAGCGTGTGTATCTTTTGCCGGCTAAAGGGGCCCACATCAATGTGGTGCAACTGCCCCTTTGGCCCTGCGCTAAAGACAGCTCTGGGTCCAGTGTACACTTGTGCAGAGTGAATTTTGATGCAATTTGCATAGTAGTAGGGAGTCATTTCTATTTTATCATGATGTTTGTTCTGTTTGCAGAGTTCCTTTTTTTTGTTTTTTATTGCAGTTTTCCTAATTTAACAAGCCTGCAAATAGAACATTCCTAATGAAGAACTGGAACTCTGACAACTGATGTCACTAATTGGCCTGACCCACTGCAATTTTTCTCTGCTTCCCTTAAGAGGTCCTTGCTGAGAAGGAGCATGTGTCCATGACATCAGGTGTATGGATGAAAGGCACTCTGGCTAAATTCCAACAACTTTCTGAGAACAGAGATTGTCCTTACTGTGCTTGATGAAAATACATTTGTTGTTGCTATAACCACCTGAAAAAAGCCTTTCTGAACTGAAATGATTCAGATAATAGTGAATTGGAGTGCTGATTTTTTTTTTTAAATTAATTCAACAGCAAAAAATAAGCTGCCAAAGTATGATGTACTAAAGTAGTCCTTGAAGATTGTACATACAGGTGAAACTCGAATAATTAGAATATCGTGCAAAAGTAATTGCAGTAAGTGCTGCAAAAGGGGCCCAAACCAAGTACTGAGTACATATGCATGCTTGTACTTTTCCGAGGTCCGATATTGTTCTATGTACAATCCTTGTTTTATTGATTGCATGTAATAATCTACTTTTTTGAGGTTGTGGATTTGGGGTTCTTGGGGTTTTCATGAGCTGTAAGCCATAATCATCACAATTATGACAAATCACGGATTGAATTATCTTGCTTTGCATGTAATGAGTCTATCTCATATATTAGTTTCACCTTTTAAGTTGCATTAGTGAAATAAATGAACTTTGCACGATATTCTAATTATTCGAGTTTCACCTGTATATGGCCTCAAATCCATAAAAAAAGACCCCTTACCCTGCTGTTATTTATTTATTTATTGCATTGGCACAAGTTCCCACACAGCACTACCGGGTTCTCTATGCTAAGTGCCAGTAGCTTGCCCAACAACCCCCCAAGGGGCCACAATTGCTCGTCAACATTTGCCTCCTATTGACTTCAATGGGGTTCACAGCAAAATTCACAGTTGATGAATTTCTCCATGGACTTGCAAATTTGTTCATTTGTTTTTTTTCAGATTTGTTAATTCCTCCTCAGCAGAAACAACCAGCCATGGTTCAGTATAATCTTCATTCTTCATTCATCTCTATCATACAGTCACTATCAGTCCTGGCACCATGCATGCATGAGCACATAATGACGTCTGATGTAATTTCCCTTCTCAACGCGTTTCACTAACCTTAGATTTGTTTGCAGGAGAAAGCTGTTCTTTTACAACATGTGATCTGGGGGAATGAATGCAAAGTGTGTAGAGTAGTGGCCCTGTAACACTTCTTCCCTGTGGAGAGGGGTTAGTATGACTAAACAGGCGGCTATTGTAGAATGAGTGTACTGACGTTTTAGAAGTTGAATCCTACCTGGAGCATGGGGCCTTGTTGTAAAGGGTTAACCTCCAGCTCCAGTTTATGCCACCTCTTTCAGAACCCCTCATCACAGTAAACATTTGTAGCATATAAACCTTCTATTCTTCTAGCTGTTGTCTGGCCACTCACGTGGCAAGCAGGGTCATTCTTCTTCTTCTCCAACATCAGCGGGGATCCCAATACTGCATATATGAGTGCTTACCTTGTGATGTGTGAGTACCATTCAAAGCATTATTCCACTGTGAGCCTGATCCTCCAAGCTGCCCAGCTGTGACAGTGGTCCCTGCTTCCTCTAACCTTCTTCCCCGCAGCAATGGAATGTCCCTCCACGTCCTCCCATCCTATACACTGTGTACAAAACATGATGACCTTAGACCACTGCAGCGGAGGGGGAGAGATGCTCCAGGGAGTGATCTAAGATCAAGCCGGCTTGGAGGATTGAGTGAGTATAACTACTTTTTTTATTTTCAGCCCTAGCCCAAAATGAGCACTTAACCCTTGCAGTGCTGGGCTAACCCAACTACAAGGGGTAATAAAAAATTTACCCAGAGTCTTCTTTAAGTCAGCTCTGCCTATTAGTTCTGCACAGTGGATCTCTTCCAATCAGGTGTGACTTACTGAAAACAAGACACTCTATGGAAGATATTTTATTTTAACATTTGTTGGTAAGGAAGGCTCTGTGATTGCAATGAAATTCACATAACCTTTAGAGGGAAATGTAAAATCTGTATGTGATACATTAATGTAAATGTGGTATAACAAGCAAATGTGACATTTACAGCAAACATTGCTTTAAAGCACAACTCCAACAAGATGTTTTAAAAGAGTAGGGAAGGGAACTCTGTCAGCTATCTTATCTGGTTCTTGATCCTCAGCTGGTTTGATTAAAAATGTCAGAGCTTGTATATGTTTTCACATTCTTCTATCTATTACAAGCACTCTGTTTGCAGATCATACTGGTTTATTACAAGCTCCATAGCTGTACATTACATTTTGTTAGAATATCATTTGAAATGATGGCAACTTGTTTTTGTTGTACTACTCTTACTTAGCTCCATGTAGGTTTGTCAGCATATAAAGCAAGTTCTGTTTATTTTAGATATGCAGCATTGGTGGTGTTTACCAGAAATCTATACAAAGCAGTCACTTTGCTTGAGATTTCATATCTCTGCAAGTCTCAAACCCTTTACATAGTATTTGAGGTTGAATAAAGACATTAGTCCATCAAGTCCAACCTATTAGGATCTCATTCTAGGAGCACCCGTACCCCTGTATATTATGGTCCCTTAAGAAATCGTCCAAAAGTTTCTTGAACAATTCCACATTATTTGCTGAAATCACCGCCTGTGGCAGTGAGTTCCAGACCCTAACTGATCTTACTGTGAAGAACCCCCTTCGCCCCTTGTGCTGGAATTTTTTTTCCATCAATTTTAGGTGATGGCCTCTAGTTTTTGTAACGGAGTTAATTTTAAACAGTTTATCGCTAATGTTGCTACCACCATTAAACATTTTGTACATGGAAATCATATCCCCCCTTAATCTCCTCACCTCTAATGTGAACATGTTTAAATTTAGTAGCCTCGTCTCGTAGCTCTGGTCCTCCATACCCCTAATTAGTTTGGTTGCCCTTCGCTGGACTTTTTCCAACTCAAGGACATCTTTTCTTAGTACTGGTGACCAGAACTGGACCGCGTACTCCAGATGAGGTCGAACCAATGATCTATAAAGTGGCAAAATTATAGACTTGTCCCTGCAATACATCCCCTTTTTAATACAGGACAAGACCCTGCTAGCTTTGTTTACAGCAGCCTGGCACTGCAAACTACCTTTCAGTTTGTGGTCTACAATGACCCCCAAATCCTTCTCCATTCCTGACTTCCCCAGCGGCATACCCATAATTGTATAACCCATTTGTTTATTTTTAATTCCAAAGTGCATTACTTTGCATTTATCTCCTTTTAGTTACCTTGTTATTAGGGTCAATATCTGTTATGTCTTTCCTGATTGGTGCCTTTAACTGATAACATCCCACATGGTCATTATCTTATGACTGAGGAAGAGCAGGGGTACTTGAAATCGAGGTTTCTGAATATCTACAAGGGGCTTAATCTATATTGTTAAGGAACAAATACTTTCAGCTATTATTATTTTGTTTACCTTAAACCCTAACTCTAGCCAATTATTTTTAGGTTTAAAAAGAGTGGGGAAGGGTTTGCACCTCTGTCTGTGTTGGGACCCTCTTGGAGACAGTTCCTGTCACTTCCTGCACCAGTGAAACCATGTCAAATCTTGGCACACATGTCGTCCCCAGTAAAAGGAGAGAGGGTAAATCGTTCCAATGGAGACACAGAGATCAATAACAATCTGACAGAGTTCCCTTCCCTACTCTATTAAAACATCTTGTATAGCCAAGGTCAAATTCAAAATATCAAACAGAGCCATGGCAGTTAAATACATTTACGGTAAATACAAATGTACAGTGCGCAGACTTGAGATCCATCCATTGGTCTATGACAAGTGTATGGATGAGCTGTTCCACCTATAGCAGGCCTGTTTTGGGTGAACAACCAGTGTCCAATAGTTCTTGTTTGGACCCTGATCTTACTACTCAGCAGTATAGTTTCTGTATCCATGGCAGACAAGGGAACTAGAGTCTAGGGTTCTAGAGATGGGATAGAAATGAGTTAACAGAGAGTGGACAGACACTATGTGAAAGAGAACCTATGGCTAGATAACACTAAGAGGCTGAATAGGAAACCAACACAAATGGATCAAAATAGACAAATGATACACCAACTGGACACTAAAGTGAGCACTATGTAGAAGGCATGAAGCGTGCCGCATCTTCTACGGACAGGACAGGACAAGTCGTGCAAGATGATATAGGAAATTTAACCACTCATAAGACACATCCAGTGTAGTGACAGACAAGGTAGTTGCCAGGGCCGAAAATGGAACAAGAGGAGTGAACTGGTTAAACCACATAGAGAGCAAATAGACATTTAGGAGCAGGAGACAACAAGAATTAGGTGGTTACCAAGGCAACCATACAGAGGAAGAAACAATCAAAATGCAAGAGTTGGTACAGAAATTTGCCAGGACAGAGTGAAAAAACTTGAAAACACCGAAGCAAGGACTGAACCTAATGCTAGCTAAATAACACAAATCCAGGTTGACATTCATAGGATCCGCACTGCCTGCTAACAATGCTCATAAGTTTATAGCCTGAGGTACTGCTAGAATGAGAGAGAGGTGAGAGTGGGATGAAGCAGAGACACATACAGAAGGGATATGAGACATACTGACAACAGAAGGAAACTGGGGGACACATTGATAGGTGACATAGTAGACGTACATATGACAAGCACGCACATGGGGTTAATTTACTGAGGCAAAAAGGCTGTTTAGTTTTTTTCTTAGCTTAGTGAATGTGGTGAAGCTCTGCTAACAACTATCACCCAATTATGTGCAAGTAAAAATCCTGTTTTTGCTCATAATTGGGTATTTTCACCATGCTAATCAGGTGCAAAGTGAACAGCCTATTTGCTTTAGTAAATAAATCCCAAAGAGTGAAATAAAACTCAAAATCAGTTGAAAATCTATGAAGAAAAAAAAAAGATTGTAATCTAAATTAGGATTATGTGAATTAAAGCCCTCCAATGCATTCATGGTTTTGCAATCATCCAGTATCACAAAGTACAATTCAGATTCTAAACATGATCACTTAATAACATGTCCAGACATCATTAATACCACTTATTTTTGTCTGAGGTTGAAATAATATGGCGGTGCGATACAATCTTTATAAGTTCTTTGTTTGGCCCAACCCATAATGAGAACCACAAGTGCAGATGAAGACACACATTATTGAAAAGAAAACTGACAAAGCGTGTTTTAATATGTTTAGGAAATTGTCCAAAGTGGGGTGTTTAATCAGTCCAATTTTGAGAACCTTACACCCATGGGGTCATAATCAGGATTTCAGAATGATGATTTTAATGTGTTTATTTAATCTGTTTGATGTGATATTATTAATAGCCGTGTCAATTTGTATTTAATAGCCCTGTTACAATTTGTATTTGTCTTTTCTGTTTTCTAGAGACTCATGGCAGTCTGCCTGCAAATGTATACGAGTTATATTATGCAACAAATGTTCTACTTGCATATTACAGATTTTTAAACATTAAATAAATATTGTTTAAAATGATGGTTATTTGATTTTGTTGTACTTCCCTTACCCAGCAGAATATAGGCTGTTTCTATTATTTACTTTGTTGCTAAGGTTACTGTCTGTTGCATATTTCCTGCTCGGTAGCATTCAGTATGGTTATTATTTATAGTTTTAGAATGAGAATGGATGTTTGAAAGCTTTGTATTATTGTATTGTTTAAAGAAATCTTGCAAAGAATTTAAATTTGTTTGCAATCAGCATTTCAATGTTCAATAGGGTTCCGGTCAGGGCTATGTGCAGGCCACTCAAGTTCCTTTATACAATTGGTTGCAATTATGTTTGCTGAACAACTCCAATGTAAATAACTGGAGAGAATTGAAGTTTCTTTTAATTAAACATAAATAGGTTGTACATAAAAATTAACTTTGTTACAGATCAATATCCCATACCTGCATCCACTTCATATTTTGAAGCATGAATGCTATTAAACCACTTTTGCTAGGAAGAGTGAAAAGCATTTCTGATTTTGCAATAACTTCACCAGGTTTTAGCAGGAAAGGGACCTGGACTGTAGAAATTGTGTTAAATAAAAGGCAAGCAGAGAACAAAGGACTATTCACCGGTACTGCCTATAGCAGGGGTAGCCAAACATTGGCCCTCCAGCTGTGGTGAAACTTCAAATCCCATTAGGCATTGCAAGACTTTAACAGTCACAGACATGACTTCCAAAGCCAGATGCATGATAAGATTTATAGTTTAATCGCAGCTGGATGGCCAAAGTTTGGCTAACCCTGGCCTATAGGTGCTCTGCAGGTGATCCTTTCCCATTACTGACTTGGCATTCCATGTTCCACACTTGTGTGGAGGCAGCCATCTTGGTAGAGGAGCAGGCCTTTGTTATCTCATGTCAGAGCCCCCCCCCCCCCTTTCC